AGGATATCCTGTGTTATCTGGGAAATAATATCATCAAAAATTAGATAAAGAATAAAACATCAAATATTCCTAACAAGTTCAGATTTCTGTATTTCAACTCTCCTGCAAGGTTTATAAATTGAGACCAAGAAATAATAGGGAATAGTTTGCAGACAGATATCACCAGAAGAATTGAGAAGAGTTGAAAATAATAACGTACGAAAGGGATATGCGAACAGTGTGTAGAGAATGAAGGAGATTTGATCGAGAATACAATGAAAATCTGAACTTGTTATAGGAATAATTGCTGCATTGTTCTTTATCAAATTGTTAATGTTATTTTTTAATAGGTATCATTATATTATAAGTTCCTATATTTATTTCTTGGTGAAAAAATCTTAATTTTCAGTAATTTTAATAATTATTTATCTCACTCTATAGCCAGATGATCTAATCCTGATTACCATCATGTCTGATATCATTCAAATTTTGAGAGTGTAACAAAACCATGGTTTGTATTTGTTCATATAAATCTAGGAATGAAATATGCCACCTAGGTAGCAGTCAGGTGTAGTGTGGGTTGCCAATGTTTGCCATACATATCGCGAATAATGAATAGTTTTCAAAACCAATTCGATCGCCCCAACGAACGGTTTTTGCGCTTTGTTTTTTTGGACCGTATGTTTTTGCTTCTGGAGAGTAAATCGAAAGACTCTGTCCAAGTAATACTCATAACACTTCCTGTCGACTGCAACTTATTTATGCATATGAACCTTTTTGGTTTTTCCATTCAAGCTATCTTGTTTATATTTAACGAATAGTGAAAAGTGGTCGCCTGGTCATTATTATTTTTCTTACTTATCATCGTTCTTTATGTGGTCGTGCTCATTTTATAGTGTCTATACCGGTAAATGTTTGTTGCAAATCGAATGTAAAAATATGTTTTTTCTGTGACGGGAAAAAAGTTTGGCATTTCATCTCTGGTTGGCAGGTTATAAAATGTCACTTTTCATAAATTACTTTTTTCCCGTGGGAAAAAAGTGAGTACTTTTTTCCCGGATATATATCACATATATATACTCTGTTGATGGCTTTTGTTGTGCTATAGATCCGAAAAATGTGTCAATAATACCGTCTCCGAGAAAGAACTGCAAGTCCTTTTATCTTCCATTCGACTTCGCGGTTTCGTATACTGAACAACTACTGAATTCGCAATTTTCTAAAATCAAATCAAAGAATTGAACTGACAGAAGTGACATCAGATATTTGATTACTTCAAAAGAATGATAAAGATGCCTATAAAACGCAGGTGTCCCTACTGTTAAAAACTTGAAATTTCACGTCGATAATTTTCAGATTTCGAAATAATGTGATATCTTCTCAATATTGATTCGTCCTTCCTTCTGTCACAGAAAAAAATAGTGTATTATACACGGGAAAAATATTAGATTCTAGCTCACGGTTTTTTGTCTCCCTCCGCTACGCGTCGGGAGACAACACAACCTGGAGCTAAAATCTACTACTTTTTTCCCTTGTATAATAAATAACTATTATGATTGGGTCATTTTTAAGGTTGTAGATGATTTTGGAATAAATGCTGTCATCTTCTCAAAGTTTAAAATTAGTTTGACCCACACAACCAAAGCCTTGAGATAAGTTTCATTACAAGAGGTATTATAAACGGTGACTTGAAATGTGCAATTATTCGAAATTTGTGATTGATAATTTTTGTTTGCTCGAAAAAGTAGAAAATATTGAGTAGTATACCGATGTGAGAGAAAAAATTCAAATCGCCCTAGGAATACGAAAGTACAAGGGTGGGGTGGACCAAGTTGAAACACACTGTATGTCATCAGCAATCAGTAACACGAAAATCTCATTGCTCGCCTGAAAACGCTTCTGCTCCATGCGCATAACCCCCAAAAGTGAATAAGATATAATGCATGGGTCCTGAAATTCCTGAATGCGCATAATTCATGTTGTCTAGGTCAATCTAGTATCCACAGACCTTTGAGTTTTGTTGTTCAATTTCGTTTGCAGTAATGCCAATAATGCGCAAAAAGCGCAATAACGACGCTTTCCATTTCGTTTTGCGACATTGCGATTTTTGGGAAAAATTGCGCTTTCTGCTACTTGTAGAGCCACTTTACAGTTGTTATCAATTTTTCAAAACTGCAGCAATTTTCATTGCGCGCGTACTACTATGGCGCGTACTCATACGATAGTGTCATTCTGCTGAACTGTCGGAATTTTTCGTCCATTGCAGGAAATGGGTCGTGGACGTGGTCCGGACCTATTTTCTATTCTTATTACGGTAATTCTCATTATAGTTATAAAATGTGTAATTTTCGGTATATCATGCATTATTTATGCATCATTAGATAAAAAATTGGAAACTGTAAAGCGACTCTAAAGACGTTGGTTGATATTTTAGCTGTTGATCTTTGATATATTTCATGACTAAGTACGCTGCTGTTATCGAGTTTGGTTAAATTTCACGAATCTCAGACTTGTGTGCCAAAATTGCCCAAGCAGTAAACTAGCTTATTCATGAGCAAAATTTTCAGATAATGCGCATGTGCAAATTTTCGTAATGTTGCGCTTTTTCTCATCTTTTTCTTTACATATTGCGCTTTTATGTTGGCAGAATTGCGCTATTTGTTTCTTCAATCTTCACAAGGTTTCTTGATTCTTCATTCTTCAACCAATGAACTCAGTTGTTTACATACAGTTCATTGTCTTCAACATACAGTCTTCAACACCGACAACACTGCTCGTGTGGCAGTGTGCGGCATACATATACGTATAAATAACTATATGGATAACAAGATCTCATAGTTGATGCCAGAAATGAAAACAAAAGATAGTCCCCGGGGATTAATAGACTTATGCGCATGCGTCAATTCGAAATTAGAAACGACATGAGTTTGACGATTGCTATACGAATTTGATGCCCTCTTCAGTAAACGTATGATCATTATTGAAAATCGACAGAATTTAGTACATAACCTGAAATTCAATGTTTATATTTTGATATCTGAATCCATTCTGAATCTGAAGCCTCAGACAAGAAATCATGACCGAGACTTCACTGGAATTCATATTTGCGAAGTTTTGGTGGATCTGAGGAAGCAGACAGCTTCAATTCGCGGTTTTGGAACGAGTTTGCTGAAGTTTTTTATTGTCTCAGAATACTTCCAATAATGGCCAACAAGTGCAAGACATTATAAACATACAAATGTACAGCTTCCCAACATAATATGCAAAATTATACGAAGTGTGGCAGAACATTACAAAAATTGGGAAGCCCATTTACAAATATATGTGCCTGTCTGTAGCAGATACTTATTCTCAGAAACAGATTATGAAGGTAATTTCTTTCATTTTGAGAAAAATATCTTTACAGTGTTCTATGTAATGTGCTTTTCTTTCAAGTTTCAAGGGATTCCAAATACAATTGCAGAAGTTGGTACATTTTCTGTGATGCAGATTACATACCTCCACAGAATTTACCAATTACAATGCATCAAAATGTAAAACCTGTGATCAATGGATATGAATGGGAAAGAGGAAGGTCACATACATAAAAAAATAGAATATGACTCTAATCCTTCTTCAGCTAAATCAACCAAATCATCCTCAGTAAGAGGATCAAATGAATCTGATAATGACAAAGATGCTGGAAGGATAGAACTTGCTTACCAGAGTGCTGATGCAACTTCCACCAGGACTGATCTTGTGAAAGTGGCTATGATGTTTCCATAGAAAAGACAAGTGCAATTTCAGTAGCCAATCTAATGAATTTTTTTTTCACTTTTTCTGTTATAATAAAAAATGTAATGAGTACCTACTCAATTTTGCTTTATTTCAACATATAAACCAGAATATGATTAACACTGTGAATAATTGAAAGCTTCCAATTCTATACAAGGAATAAGAATAAAATGATTATGAAATATCTCCATTATTCTCAATCTCAAGACCATGCTCAAGTGTGATTCTGATAGTAATGGAATCTTTTCAAATGTTGTTCTTCCTGCTTCATTGTAGAAATATAATTATGTAGGGCAGTTGATTTGTTATCTGGAAAATGAATATCAGTTACCTATTTATGGAAGTTAGATATTATATAAGACTTACAATTCACCAAGAATTCAGAATTATTCTTTTTCACCAACAGCATGATTAATTTTGTAGGAACAGTTTCTTCAATCTTTGTCTTCCTTTGATTGTAAAAGCTAGTTACATCACATCTATACCTGACTTTCTTCACCACTTGCTTGGGTGTGAGCTTCACAACTGAATTCTTCCAGTTCTGCAGTTCTTTATGACTACCTAAAAATGTAGTTGACATTTCAGTAAGCAAAAGGATCAATGGAGCATAATTGACTTCATGAGGCTTCAGCATACACAAACCAAGAGTTTCAAATCAGCAGAAGTTTCATCAGCTCAAAGATCTCAAGTTTCTGTATACTTTTCACTTCAACAAATTAACATTATTTCTTGCTTTGTATACCTGTTCGTCTTCCACCATCGGCCGATTTTCAAAAGCACTCAAATCGCTGAAATTTCGAAATAAAAATGATAGGAATCAAATGTGGAATGTGGCTCTCATTGTTTTCCCCATTCCACTGACAGCTTTGACTTCAATATCAATGCTTTGATGTACTTTTTCTGCTATCTGAAACATTTTCGCGGAGGAATATTATTTTCAGAGGCATCGGAAAGAAACTTCAACAACATAATAATATATAAATAAAATTTAAATGAAATTCATCCTCCATTTTGACTCGTGAATTTGACAAATTTCGCGCATGCGCAAATAGGTATTTGCACCCGCAGACTGTCATTTGTTTCCTCAAAACTGGCTTCACTTTTGACCATTTGAAACATAGGATGTTATCCGTATATATTTAGTAGGTATATGGCGGCATATCAGGCATATGAGATGTTTATAAGCTTTGTGAGCTAGTGACTAGTGAGCATAGACACGTATAGATAAAAAAACACCCATAAAGAATAACTCGATTAATAAAGAAGAAGAAGGAGAAATAACCTCAAAATCTGATGAAAACACATGAGCAATCACATGAGGGATAAAAAAGCAAGGGATAAAGATAAAGTAGTCTACCATTCTACAATCTACACCAAGGACTATACTCTACATAGGTCTACATAGTACACAGTGACGATTTCATTGGAAACTTCAATATATAATCATATTATATAATATATGCAAAAAGGTATCAGAAATATTTAAGTTTTATTCCCCATTTTTATAACCCTATTTTTCAACAATCTGTGGCTAGAGAAATTCCATTCTTATAACAGTTTACAAACCTTTAGACATGAAATATAAAGTAATGGACGGAGAAGGCCCTCCAAAGAAGAAGTTGAAAATTTTGAAAGAAAAACCAAGTGAGGAGGATGGAGCCCAGAAAAATGTCAACAAAAACATACTGAACAAGGAAGCTAAATTCAGTAAAGGTAAAATTGATGAAGATAGGCCCCCAAAGAAGAAGTTGAAAATTCTGAAAGAAAAATCAAGTGAGGATAATCAATCCCGGATTACATTCAACAAAAACATACCTAACAAGGAACCTAAATTCAGTAAAGGTGATAAAAAAGAAGGACCTACCCATTTGAAGAAGGCAAAGCCAAAATCCTTCACATCCAAGGGCAAAATCAATTTTGATAAAAGTAAAAAGCTTCCAGAAAAGCCTGAAGACTGGGCAGATTTCAAGAAGAAAAAGAAAGAGTTGAAGCAGAAGCGTAAACAAACAAAAGATGGCTTTGATACTATCACAAGGGCAAAAAAGTTGGGTGAGGACTTGAGAAGAAAAACACTTAAGGGTGGTGAACAAAGACGCACCCAGTTAATGAATGAATTACATACTCTTTTGAAAGGAAAAGGCCATTATGCTAAATTTGTGTTAGCACATGATACTGCTAGATTAGTACAATGGCTTCTGAAATATTCTACAGCTTTAGTCATTAGTCAAATATCAAAGGTGAGTTTTTTTCATTGAGAAAACAAAATCTCAACCACTGAAACTTTTCAGGAGCTGATTCCAGTGACTGTGGAGATGCTACAATCAAAATATGGTGTATATTGTGTGAAACGTTTATTAAAATATGGCAGTAGTGAAATAAGATCTCAAATAATTGACAACATGCTTGGTCATGCTGTAAAGCTAGCTAGTCATGCATTAAGTGCACCTGTAGTAGAATATGCCTACTCCACTTGGGCATCTCAAATCCAAAAGCAGTACCTTGTCCAAGAATTCTTTGGAGATCTATACAAAAACTCTAAAGATGCCAATGTTAAGCATCTGCGTGATACATATAAGAACAATGACAGTATGAAGGCTGCTACTTTAGGTGCAACTAAATCAAACTTGATGAGAATTTTGAATAAGTCCCTTTTAGACTCTGGTTTGGTGCAGACTGTTTTGTGTCAGTACTTGGCTGAATGCTCAAATGATGATAGAAGTGAACTAATTACACAGTTGGCTTCCCATATTGTTGTAATTAGCAATAGTAAGGATGGCGCTAGAGCTGCTATGCAGTGTATCTGGCATGGATCAAATAAAGATAAAAAGGTGAGTAACATTGTTAATGCCATATTATATGTAGAATGATCCTGTTTACCAATATCTGTCCTCCCAATTCTTTCTAAAATCAATGAAAAAATCATGAATTATCAGCAGTTAAATTACTTGATAGCAAATTCATTAACTTCATTGGCAAACAATCTATATTTCATAATTGAATAATTTTATACAATTACACCAAATGAATTGAAAAATATTCATGATGTAAGAAGATTTAAAGTCGAATCTAAAACAATACTTGTTCAGGACAATTTGATTGAAAAATATTTGACATGATTTGATTACTCAGAGTTGAAATGTTAAAACTTTCATCTTTAGATAGAGGATGAATATGTTTCCACTGAGTGGAATTCATTAGTTGATCTTTTAAAATTATTATAATTTTTTTTATTTGTGTTCATGTATCCCTATTATAAACAGATATGTTTCTTGGGGTGATAAAAACAATCAATCAAAAGTTATATTTCAAAATATTAATAGGAATATTCTTTTTAAAAATAAATAAACCGATAAAATGACCAATGTTTTGATAAAACATTAGCGTAAGTCGCTTTTTTCTTCATCATCACTTTTTTTTTGACATGGATTCGATGGTGGAAGAATCTTCATTCGAACTTTCCTTGGAAGTGCTCCATCTAAATTCGACCTTATGTGGTATCCTGAAATGAAACTGCAATATTCCAACAACCATGCAACTGGTGTGAAAGCAGCAACAGTTTTTCTGGTTTTTATATTTGCTTATAAAGGAAGGTTATTTTCTTTTGTTGGAGATATTTTTATGCAAGTTCACTAATCTGAAGAAGTTGAAAAAGGCTCCTCACAGTGAATTAATTTGTGATTTCTAAACCACCCCACAAAACAGAAAAATCATGAGAACAGTTGAGAAATCTCCAAGAAATCTCTTGATGGGGGATTTACTATGTGTTGATAATTCTACACTAATTGAACCCCCTCAACTAAATAATTTGTGAACCAGAAACTACCCCTTGACAACCCTCTGAAGTAGAAAAATGTAAATTCAGTTGAAATATACTACCAGCACCCACTTGCCTGATTAACTCTTTTATTGAACAGGGGTGTCTTTCCTGATCTTATGAAACTATATCTGGTGTTTTCATTACATAAAAAAGGAAAGCTGAATAATATTGAGAATTATAGGCAAATTTCACTTTTGTGAGAATTTTGTATAGTACTTGAAAGGTGCATCTATAATCAGATTGTTAGCTTTATTGAGAAATGCAACCGTCTTACAGTTGATCAGCATGGCTTTAGAAAAAAGAAATCTATTGAAACAGCTAGTTATTAAATGATGAACTACATTTATCAAGAACTTGATGCTGGTAACTATGTTGTATCTATCCTGTTCGACCTCTCCAAGGCCTTGAAAGGTTTTGGAGAAACTATATGCATTGGGAATTAGAAGCAGTTCACTGAGATGGATTGAATCGTCAAAATTGAAAACAAACTTTCCCAAAAACATCCCATTTCTCTTGAAGTTCCACAGGGCTCTATCCTAGGACCCTTAATTATTCTACTCTATAACAATGACTTACCAAACTACATCACCAAAGGCAAAGTGACAATATTTGCAGATGACACCACAATTACCCTAGCTGGAAAAATCCCTGAGAAACTCCAAGTGAAGATAGGGCAAACTATAAGTGACATGGAAAGCAGGTGTAAAAGTAATGACCTTATTATTAATGAAAGTAAAGTACTGACTTTGACTCAAATCTAAGCTCTGACACCCATTTAAACCATGCCTGTCCAACTCTCAACATGTCATTCTATGTCATTTTCCAAATAAAATCCTATCTAGATCAAGAGGGGCTAATGAAACTGTAATACAGTTTTGTATATAGTCACTTAGCATATAACTTCATTATTTGGGGCTCTGGCTCAGGATGGCACAGAGTACTCATTGCTCAAGAAAGAATTATTCATCATATTTAATATGGGATTCGGAGAGAAAGCTGTAGGCAGACTTTCCGTGAGAAAAAAAATTATTCCACTTGCATCTATATCTTAAAATGTGTATCATAAAGCTACATCCTGAATGGTTTCATCTGCAGAACAGTCTTCATAGATACAATACTAGATGCAATGAAATGTCTATTGCTAAATATAATACTTCAACTTTTGAAAAAATCTCCCATTTTCAACTGCATAACACTTTTCAATGCTTTACCAGAGAACATAAGAAGCTTGGATAGCTACAACATTTTCAAATCAAAAGTAAAATACTTCCTCATAAAAAACGCTTTCTATTCTGTTGAAGAATGTATATCTTACAGAGGTTTGTAAATGTTCCTTAGCCCATATGTGTTGTAATTTGTACATGTTTTTTTTATTATTGCATATGATATGTTGTAATTACTATCATACCTAGCTTATTATGCTCACATTTTTTATAATTTTTATCTATACTACTATGTAATCTGCTTGTGCATCTGTGACCTGCCATCTGTACTTTGTATTTATATGGCCAATAAATACTACTAATACCAGTTGCCCCAGGTTTTTAAATGGAAATGATTTATTCCAGACCTATTGAATACGCTCTGAGAGGTAGAATAATTTGTGAAACAGAAACTACCCCTTAATAACCCCCCCCCCCCCCCCCCCGAAATAGCAAAATCATGAATCAGTTGATATTCCAGTTGCTCAAAGTTTCTTAATGGAAATGAATTATTCTAGACCTGCCAAATACTGTACGAGGTGAAATAATTTTTGAACCAGAAACTTCCCCTGAACAACCCTCCGAAATAGAAAAATCAAGAATCACTTGAAATTCCAGTTGCTCAAGTTTTTTATGATAATTAATTATTCTAGACATGCAGAATACGCTTTATAGGGTGAAATGAACGCTCTATTGGGTGAAATGAGTGAACCAAAAACTTCCCCACAACAACCATAAATCAGTTGAAATTCCCATTGCATAGGATTTTTTTCATGAAATGAATTATTCTAGACCTGCTTAATACGCTTTACGAGGTGAAATAATTTGTGAACCAGAAACTACCCCTCAACAACCCTCCGAAATAGAAATATCCTAAATCAGTTGAAATTCCGGTTGCTCCGGATTTTTTGATGAAAATAAATAAATCTAGACCTGCAGAATGCGCTCTAGTGGGTGAAATTATTCGTGAACGAAAAACTACCCCTCAAAAACCCTCCGAAATAGAAAAATCATAAATTACTTGATATTCCAAACCAAAAACTACCCCTGAACAACACTCCAATATAGAAATATCTTAAATAACTTGAAATTCCTGTTGCTTGCAGTTTTGTGTTGAAAATTAATTATTCTAGACCTACAAAATACGCTCTATTGGGTGAAACAATTTGTGACCCAACCCAAAAACTACCCCACAACAGCCGTCCCAAATAGAAAAATCATAAAAATTCTCGTTGTAAAACATTTTTTTCAAGAACAGAATTATTCTAAAGCTGCTGAATACGCTCTATGGGGTGAAATAATTTGTGAACCAAAAACTACCCCACATCTCTCCGAAGTAGAAAAATCATAAATCAATTGAAATTCCTGTTGCTCAAGATTTTTTGAAGAAAAGCAATCATTATAGACCTGCAAAATGACTCTATGGGTTGCAATAATTTGAGAATCTAAAACTACCTCACATCAACCCTCCGAAATGACAAAATTATAAATCAGTTGAAATTCCGGTTGCTCAGGATTTTTTGACAAAAATTGATTATTTTAGACGTGCAGAATACGCTCTATTGGGTTAGATAATTTGTGAACCAGGAACTACCCCTCAACAACCCTCCGAAATAGAAAAATCATAAATCAGTTGATATTCTGGTTGTTCAAAATTTTTTGATGAAAATGAATTATTCTAGAGCTGCAGAATACGCTCTAGTGGGTAAAAAATTTGTGAACCAAAAACTACCCCTAAAAAACCACCCGAAATAAAAAAAATCACAAATCAGTTGAAATTCCTGTTGCTCAAGATTTCTTGATGAAAATGAATGGTTCTAAACCTGCTGAATAGGCTCTAGGGGAAGAAATAATTTGTTGCCCCATAGAGCGTATTCAGCATGCTTAGAATAATTCATTTTCATCAAAAAATCTTGGGCAACTGGAATTTCAACTGACTTATGATTTTTCTATTTGTTGTGGGGCAGTTTTTGGTTCACATATCATTTAACCTTATAGAGTGTATTCAGCAGATTTGGAATAAGTTATTTCTTGAAAAAAATCTTATGCAACGGGAATTTCAACTGATTTATGATTTTTTACTTTGGAGGGTTGTTGTGGGGTAGTATTTTGTTCACAAATTATTTTATTAATTATGATTTCTTATTTTGAAGGGTTTTTGTGGGGTAGTTTCTGAGGGTGCGCTGCATTGTGCCCACATTTCGTATCTCCCACATCGCGTTGTTCCCACATTTCGATATGCCCACATTTCGTAAGTCCCACATTTCGATACACCCATAGTCTCCGAACATACCCGAAGGAGGCCCTGTTGCCAAATACTATCTTATTTACCAGAATTCAATGAAACGGCCATTGTGGGCATATCGACACATTGCGTTACACCTACATTTCGTAACACCCACATTGCTTTATGCCCACATTTCGTTACGCCTACATTGCGTTACACCTACATTTCGTTACACCCACATTGCTTAATGCGCACATTTCGTTACGCCTACGTTGCGTTACTCCTACATTTCGATATGCCCACATTTCGTAAGTCCCACATTTCGATATTCCCACAGTCTCCGAACATACCCGAAGGATGCACTGTTGCCAAACACAATGTGCGTTAGGCCCACAATGTCTAGTACACGCGTCTAGCTATAGCATTTCCTCTATGGCTTCCTGAATTCCGAATACGTAATATGAGGAAGGGAAATATCCTTTCTGCATAAGAAAGGAGACTACTTTTTCTGAACATCCTAACCTTGCTCGGCCTAAATGAACCTCCTTCCTAGGAAATATTTTTCTGAATATTACTTGAGAGAGCAAAAAAGACTATACTTTTTCAAAACAATCTAACCCAACTCGGACTAAATAATCCTTCCTAAAAAGTATATTCTTCGATGAATTGCTCGAGGGAACAAGGAATACTACTTCTTCTAAACAATCTAACCTAACTCAGCCTAAATCAACCTTTTTACTCAAAAGTATATTTTTCGGAAAATTACGCATTAAACACAGTATATGGCAACATCCTTCGGGTATGTTCGGAGACTATGGGAATATCGAAATGTGGGACTTGCGAAATGTGGGCATATCGAAATGTAGGATTAACGCAATGTAGGCATAACGAAATGTGGGCATTAAGCAATGTCGGTATAACGAAATGTAGGTGTAACGCAATGTAGGCGTAACGAAATGTGGGTATAAAGCAATGTGGGTGTTACGAAATGTAAGTGTAACGCAATGTGTCGATATGCCCACAATGGCCGTTTCATTGAATTCTGGTATATAAGATAATATTTGGCAACAGGGCCTTCTTCGGGTATGTTCGGAGACTGTGGGACTTACGAAATGTGGATGTAACGACATGCTCCCGTTTCTGATTCAAAAATTATTTCACCTTTCAGCAGGTTCAGAATAATTCATTTCATAAAAAAAATATTATGCAACGGGATTTTCAACTGATTTATGATTTTTGTTTTTGGTTCACAATCCATTTCACCCAATAAAGCGTATTCTGCAGGTCTAGAATAATTAGTTTTCATCAAAAAATATTGTGCACCCGGATCTATTTCTGAGAGTTGTTGAGAGGTAGTTTCTGGTTCACAGATTATTTTACCCAATAAAGCATATTCAGCAGGTCTAGAATATTTCATTTCCATCAAAAAACCTCCGACAACAAGTATTTCAACTAAATTTTTATTTTTCTACTCCGGAGGGTTGTTGTGGGGTTCACGAATCATTTCATTGTATGGAGGGTGTTTAATTAGTGTGGAATCATTGATTCACATAATAAAATCGCGATCAAGAGATTTCCCAACTGCTCTCATGATTTTTTTGTTGTGATGGGTGGTTATGGGGTGGTTTAGAAATCACAAATTATTTCACTGTTAGGAGACTTCTTCCACTCCTTTAGATTAATGCACTCGCTTGAAAAAATCACCAGTAATAGAAAATGTCCTTCCTTCATAATATACCACAAGCAAAGTTAAAGAACCTTTGCCAAAAAACCCTTGCTGCTTTCACACCCTTAACCATGTTTACTGATCTTTTGAATTTCAGGTCATAATGAAAACACTTAAAGAACATATTGTAGATCTCTCCAAACATGAGCATGGCCATTGCACAGTTATAACTCTTCTAGATTGCACTGATGATACTGTTTTACTTCATAAAACCATTTTGGCTGATATATTGAAGAACGCCAAGGATTTAGCAGTTAATGAATGGGGCAGAAAAGTGAGTGTATTTGAAATTTACACATACTTCATATGTTGATTATTAATTCATATCCAGAATCACATAGAAGTTATGGAAATGAACCTTGATATTTGGTTCATGGTATGATAGATCATGGGCTTTCTTGTAATAATTGCAATTCCATTGCTATAGGGTTAGTATCAAAAATATCCTAAACTTACTTATTTCAAATAGAAACCTATATTTCTCAGTGGGTCTCTCAAATCTGATACTCTAACAGTTATCTATATGTTAAATTGTTTTGGGGAAAAAGTTAATGATTGAAGAATGGAGCGGTTACCTGAAAGTTAAGACCAATTTTTTATCTAGAATTTTTGTTCCATTTTGTCCCATTTTGTAGCACATCTGAAATCATAATAAAGGTGATATTTTTCAGATGATACCTAATTACCTATTTTTTTTTGTTTAAGATTGATTTGGGAGAAAGTTATAAAAATAATAAAAAACCTAATTCTCCTTGTGATAGAAATCTCATTACATCCTTATGATAAATAATCTTTTATAATCCTTCAGTTAACAAAGCTTTGAGGGCAATGATGTCAAAAATGCTTAAAGTTGAAATTTGAAACAATTAATTTTATTGATATGATACTCAAATTATTGGGTAGCCTGTTGAATAGCTTTAGTGTTAAAAAAATTGGAGCATTCTCCCTAATTCTGAGTTCTACAAAAAGTATATAATAATTTTTTGTTTCACCCAGTGTGATTATTATAATGATCACAATTCAAATTGAGTTTCTCCTCATTCCTAATAATGAACATGCTGTGGTATCCATCGAGTCTGGCACCACGAACTCCTCGCCAAGCTACCATCTTATGGCTTGCCTCCCCAGCTATGTTCTCTGCTAGCTAGTTTTCTCTCGAACAGGTCTCTCCATGTGGTCGACGGAGTTTCATCTGACTCTCTTATCATAAATGCTGGTGTTCCGCAAGGATCAATTCTAGCACCAACACTATTTCTACTCCATATCAACGATATGTTGGAAGCAATTTCATGTCCAGTACACAGCATTGCGGATGATAGTACCCTCCATACCGCCTTCTCTTCCAGGGCTCCAATACCAGCCAGTCAAATTAGAAAAAAACGAGGGAGAAATGTTGACAACATAAATATGGACTTGGCAACAAGTCTCAAATGGGGATCCAATAACTTGGTAGATTTCAATGCAAACAAAACACAAGCATGCATTTTCTCTAGAAAAGCCGAATTCACTGTGCCCAACATAAGCTTTTCAGTAGTAACCATACCTTTGAAGACATCCATTTTGATGCTTACTATCAGCAATAACCTTTCTTGGGAAAATCACGTGAGATCAATTGCTAAAAGTGCATCCCAAAAACTTGGTTTTCTGTTTCAGGCCATGAGCTATTTCCCTTCCAGTCAGCTGCTTATAATCTATAAGGCACAGATCCGACCTGTCCTGGAATACTATTCCCATATTTGGAGTGCAGCACCCAAACATACCCTGAAACTGTTGGATTCTGTCCAAAAAAGGGCAATTCGTCTCGTGGGTGATGCCTCGCTCACAAACTCACTCACTTCTCTGGAACACCGTAGAAAAGTTGGCGATCTGGCTCTACTTTATCGATAATTTCATGGACGATGCTCTTCTGAAATATCAACAATTTTTCCTCCCTTGGTAGAGATTAACCCGTCGAATTGAGGCTTCGCACCCCTTTGTGGTCACTTTGGAGACCTGCAGAACATCTCTTTCCAAAGACTCGTTCATCCAACGAACAGCGAGGCTCTGGAACACATTGCCAAGGGAGGTGTTCCCCGAGGCATATAACCTCCAGAAATTTAAGAAGAACACCAATTCCTACCTTATTTCCCTTGGTTCTCACGATGTTCTCTGAACATTACAGGATATTCCTTTTTGTGGGAACCAGAACATAAAAAAAATGCAGAATTCAAATAAAGAATCCTTGGACAGGTAAATTTTCATTTCTGATTATTTTTTTCACATGTCGAAATTTGACGTTTTCGTTGTTTCCAGCAAATCAATGCTTAATTCTAGCTAATCATTTGGTATCATTCTGATAATTTATTTTACTTGGTTCTTTGGGATTTTCTCTCCTCGTTTCTATAAAATAAAAGTATTCGTATTATTTCAATATATTTGTAGAGGGACAAATCAGATGATTTGCCCCAAAATGTCACTGCGTTTAACAAATTTGACATTTTGGGGCAAATCATCTGATTTGTCCCTCTACAAATATATTGAAATAATACGAATACTTTTATTTTATAGAAACGAGGAGAGAAAATCCCAAAGAACCAAGTAAAATGAATGTACCACCTCCTCGATTAACCTACAGACAGCATTCTGATAATTTGTTAGTAGCAAATTACAGCTATAATATTTTCACGTTTGGATCTTCATTTTGAAAGGGGCCCATAGAGTACATTGCTGGTAGGCTGTTTCGTTTGATGAAAAAGTCTGTTGAAGCAAAAATGACGCAGAACCGAAGTGTGTTGTAAAATGTTCGTTTTCAATGGCCATTTTGCGAGATGGTTGAAAAAATAATCACACCAAATTAGCACCCGTCTTTGTTGCTATTGAGAAATACCACACGTGGACTTCGTTCACTCGTGAGATTTCTATAGCATTCAGTTGAAATTATCAAAAATTTACCACTCCTTGTGTAATTTCTGTTGAAAATCTATTTTTTCACATACAAATTTTCAACCACATGTCAATGTCAACTTCATACCCTACAATCCAAACCGCTTCAAAAATTTTAAAATGTGCAAGGGCAATTTACACTTCATTATAGAAGTATTTTGAATGTCTATGGTCTGAAAAAGTTGGCAACAAATGAAAATCTTTTTTAGGAAAAATGTCATCCTTCATAAAAAGTTCTGCAAGTTATCAATTATCTTCATTCGTGTACGAGGTATGTCAAAAAATATTAATCTTGCTCAAGAGTAAAATACATTTAGTTTAGAAAATATCAAAAATCATTATTGACAAAAGTTCACTGGAATTGAATACTAGGTTCAAATATCAAATTACATCTGTCTAGGATGAAAATAAGGTTTCAATATTTTTTACAATTTCTCTGAGATACGACTGAAAAAATTGGTCCTGAAATTGTTGTAATTCCTCTCAAATATTTCTTACATATTGTATTATTTCACGAATTTTGTAAAATGAACTTGAGAATCAAATATATATGATGTTGAAAATTCCCAATGAATTGATTCATATTGTAGAAAAATATTTATAAACTAATTACAAGGCACTATCTGCATATTATATTAGTTCAAAATCCATCCCCCACAATAATTTCATTCTGAAGTAACAATTTTACAGTTCCCAATATCAATTATTTTGTGCAGATCTAAGTCAGGTAATATTAAATCTGCCTGAGCCAATCAATAAACACATTTGAACCACTTCATTATATCAATTCAATGTAAGCTTTAGGAATTTCTCATGAAGTAAATCCCTGATATCAAGATATTCGTTGATATGGCAACGTTGCCTCACGAATAATTCTGTGACTTCAACCTGAATTTTTGAGAACCGGCAACCGTGACGCGCAAAGTTTAAAGGGACGAGGTCACGAAACACATGTGTCGGTACATCAAACAAAAGGGGCGGAGTGTCTCATCTGTAAGGTTTGTTAATCTGTGTCTGAACTATGTGCGTCATGAATTACATCTAAGCTAAGAGAATCCAGAGGTTATATGTTCCACAGCTCAAAACACCTTGAAATTAAATACAAATTAATCTTTCCTAAATGCAGTGTGAAAACTGCGTATACTATCAGTGAGTAGGTACCAATATATGTATTGGCTCCTAAAAGATGACCGGCGGAAAGAATGTGAACCTACTGTCAATTTAAGAACGGAATCCCAAGCGCTCGCTAGAAATGGTGGTATCAGTTCAAAAGTGCAGTCGGTCATATCGTTCGTGACTTAATGAAAGCGACGTAATCTGCAAAACCGAATTGTTTAGATACTCTAATCAGCGGATAGAACGTCTTCATCCTCTCCCTTCGTGCCCGGTCGTCTTTGGCGAGTCGAACTAAATTATAACTGTCTGAGTCACTGAATGGGTCCCTTGATGTAAATTGACCGATTTGTCACCTTAATAGGGCACGGACAAATCCTCGTCTCCTCTCACTCTAAAGTGTTTGTGAAACAGTTATATAGTTCCATCTTTATTCATTTCTGGGGATGAACACTAGATTTTTGACATTTGTTGTTTTTTAGGTTATATTGATTACATTGAATTTCCACATGCAATTTCTCATTCAACTCTACATATTATATCCAAATGATGATGATAATTTTCGAGTTTTTGATTTTTCAACTCTAGCATAATCTTTGTGAGGCAGTGAGCAAATTTTTCTGAAAGTTCAATACGTTTTACCAAATGGGACTGTTCTGAGGCAGTTCATATCAATAATTAAATTTTTATTTCAGACTAAGCCTTATGGTTGAGGAATGGTGAAAAATGTTATGTATGTATTTAAACTAATGTGCTGATGTGTCATGTGTGCTGTATATATTCATGTTGGAAAACATTTTTGCAGTTTTTCACGAACACTTAATATTTCCTGAATGTAGGTATAATTTTTTAAATGGAAGGGCATGTCTCCTCTTTTAATCCTCCGATTCAATCAAAACTGTTTCTACTCAAATGCATTCAAAAACTTGTGGAGTGGATAGTTATAGGCACAATGAAAAAGTATAATATGTGATTTCGTATTAGTTTTACCTCGATATTTTGCTGATGTATTTAAAAAATTTCCCCATTCGGTCATTTCACTTTCCATGTTCTAAGTTCATATGCATTTGATGGAAAGCTGACAAATTCAAATTTGCCATCCAACTGATTGATACAGCCTAACGCAGCACATTTTACCATCCCTCCAAAACAGTATTGAATAATGTCATATTAAGATCCAGTATGAAATTGAAATTTTGTAAGATCTCTTTTAACACCTATGAATGTGACGTGACAGCAATGTCATGTCACGGACGCCAATACATGAAACCAAAGTCACTAGATGATTGAAAGAGAAAGGAGCTATGATCTGTCCTTACCCTGTTAGATGACAAATACGCCAGTTTGCATCAAGGGACCCTAGTATTAGTTAGATGGGATTTCGGACACAGAATTGACAACTGTTAACAGTTTTTGAATTTTCATATTCATTAAGTTGCACACCTTGCATTGTGACAAGAGCACCATAGTCGTTCCGCGCTTTTTCATTCAGAATTGTTTGAATTTGACAATGCATTTTATGAACGTCAGAATTGAAATATAATTTCATTAACTATTGAGACAAAAAGCATAAATGAAAGTGTCCTGCTGTGTAATGAATTGCGCGAATTCTGAAGGGACTGGCGATTCCATTTCCTTAATTTTCCAAAGGAAATATCAACAATTCCCTTATAGAAGGAATGTATGAAACGGCCTCGATGGAAAATTAATTTGAAGACAAGCAACATTTGTGAAATACATTAAAATTCACTTATAATAGCAGATTGGAATGAAACTATATTTTAGGCCCAAACAGAAGATTTATAAGATTCGTTGTTCCATTGATTTACAAAACAGACTATTGAAAAAAAATCAATATTATCATCACATGAAATGTAAAACAACATTATCATAGAGAAAGAGGAATTGATTGCAAAACTACGTAATGAAATTGAAAATTTGAAAACGAAACTGAGGAAATCAAGTAAATTGCAACGTGAATATCATTGAATGGCGTTTTCAATATCGACCAAATTCAAAAATTATCAGTAAAAAGTGAATGCAGCAAAAACTGGAAAATCAAAACAATCTTCATGTTTTAAACTTTATCACTCGGGTACAGTTTTACATTCAATAAGGAACTAGCTATAAGTATATCGATATGTGTCTATTTTGTCATATTAAAATGTTACATGAATTCTTTTCATTTTTATTACTATTGTTCTGCGAGGTGTATCGCTAATCGCTATATAAACTGATGTGAGTGTTTATACCCTATTTTTATTTTTATCTACGACAATGATTGATTTGACAGAAAATCTAACCTCTAAAAGCATATCTGACAATCAGGCGCTACTAGGGAAATTGAAAAGACAAAGAGCAGAATATATGTCTAATTCTTTTATTCACTCAAACCACTGTAATATAGAAAATCGAAAAAGACAGAAGTTCAGCTGTAAAAAAAAATCTAACTATAATACCATCCAGTGACCACTCCATACATGTGAACGTGCGATTCAATTTCAAATATCATTGCCATAGTGACATTAGCTACTTTCAATATAACAAAACATTGTCCTATATTCATTATTAATGTAGGAAAACGAATTCACATTTTCAAATTATCATACTGTATTTTTCTTTTAATAGGTATTACTTTGGTTAGTGGCTCCAGGTGATTCTAAAATATTTCATCCAGTTTTTCTCAATGAATTGAATCAGGGAAGAGAATCGTCAACAAGCAAGAAAACGTCAGATATCAGGAGGAAAGAAATTTTAGGCTACTCAATATCGTGTCTATTGAAACTGATTGAAGATGATGTTCAGTTTTGGTTGTCCAATGCATCTTTAGCTACTGAAATGACCGCTATACTACAAGCAGGCAGTGGTTGGTATTATATTTTCTAAAAATTCATTTATTTCTCCATATAAGACAAACACAGCAATGCTTTACAAAGATCTAAAAATTTTGAAAGTCACTGATATAGGTAATTACTAGATAATAGTGTCAACATTATTTATAGATTCAAAAACTACCTAACTGAAACATAAATAAGTCAACCTAACTCAAAATTGTGATATACATTATTACAACACAAAAACAAATCAACTACTGTTGGGGAAAAATATCTACATTTCAAGCTTTACAATGGTTGAACCAAAATCCCAAATATACAGGGTGTCCGCTAAAAGGAGGTCAATCCATTAACCATATATTCCTTGAACAAAAATAATATGAGTTTCTAAATACCATTTTTCATTTTAGCCCTTCTTATTCGATATACAGGGTGTCAAAGTTGAAAATTAAAAACTGTTTTTTTCTAATTACTTGCGTAATTAATAAGATATTAATCTCAAAATAGGTACATTACTTCAGCACAAAGAGTTACATCGTGTGAGGAAAACAAAACAGAAAATAACTGTCAAATATTCAAAATACTGGGGGTCAAGTATACACTTACCCCCATATTTTTTTTGTACGTGCGCTAATGACTTCCTATCTATTTTTCTTTATGTGTTCAATCATTTTTGAGTATTTTTTGATTTCTGTAAAATTCCGATAAAATTATTTGTTTTTAAGATAATTCGAAAAGTACTGGTTATTGTTTGATGCCTTGCGGCTTACGGTAATCTCATAATGTTCACATACTCCTATTTATTTCGTCGAAATTGGAAGAGGGCGTATCTTATTACGTACGGAAAGGTGAATATGGAAATACCGGGTGCTCAGAGCGAATGTATTGAAAAAATTTTTACACTTTTTAAATTTTTTTTTTTGATGGCGGACAAGTTTTCTGATTATGATCCGATTCTATTCAAAATTGGTATCTGAGGGTTTTTGGGGTAGGAAATAATGATTATTTCGTCAATATTGGGAAATTCAAAATGGTGGATTCAATATGGCGAACGGGTTTTGTAACTATGATCCAATTCTATTGAAAATTCGTACCAAAAGTTTTTTGGGGGTCGGAGATTAACATTCCTTCGTAAAAATTCAGAAATTGGAGATGGCTGGTCCAATATGGCGAACGAGTTTTTTAATTATGATCTTGGGGTTTTCGAGTTCGGAGATAATTATTCCTTCATCACGATTAGGAAATTAAAGATGGCGGACGAGTTTAGTAATCATGATCCGATTCAATTCTGAATTTGTATCTGGGGATTTTCGGGGGGTCGGAGATAATGATTCTTCCGTCATGATTCGGAAATTCAAGATGGCGGATCCAATACGGCGAACAAGTTTTACTAATTTTGATCCGATTTTATTTAAAATAGGTATCTGGGGGTATTCGAGGTCAGATATTATGATTTTGCCGATAGAATCATAATATACGATCTCAAAAAATCCCAAATACCAATTTTTTTAAAAAATCCGATCATAATTACCGAACTCGTTCGCCATATTGGGTCCGCCATCTTGAATTTCTAAATTCGGTCCATAATTGAAAAACTCGTCCGCTATATTGAATACGCCGTTTTGAATTTCATATTTTTGATGAATAACTCAAAATCTCCGACCCCGAAAATCCCCTGATACCAATTTTGAATAGAATCGGTCCATAATTACGAAACTCGTCTATCATATTGGATCCGCCATCTTGAATTTTTGATTTAAAAAATTTCATAAGAATCGGTTGAGTCGTTTCGGAGGAGTATGGGAACGAACATTGTGACAGTAGAATTTCATATACAGTGTGTCCCACTTACCATGCTCACCATGGGTATCTTTTTAACGGTGAGAGATACGAGGTCGGTTAAATGACACCAAATGTGGAGTTTGTCAAGGCCAACTATAATGTGAAAAAATATTTTGATAAAATCGATTCGTTTTTGTTTTATACGCAAAAAACAGATTTTGATCATTTGCATGTCTCCTCCGTAACTTCTTTATTTATGAAAATATTCAAATAGGCATTTCACATTCTCATGGCAGTTTTTCAAAGTGATTTCGAAAAAAATATGAAATTTATACCAACTCTTTTAGAATTCAAGTTATCAGCACCAACTTTAGTTTTTCAAATGTAGGTCATAGCTCACTGTGACTTAGTTACAAATAACTTTTTTTTCTCTTTCAGATGATATGTCGCAGTAATAGTTTTGTGTTGATAACAACGGAGTTATCGTCATTTATACAAAAACAACAAATTATTTGGAAGCCGCCATCTTGAATTTATAAATTTTAACAAAAAATCATGATCTTCGACCTCAAAAACCCCCACTTACCAATTTTGGATAGAATCGGACCAAATCTTGTCCGCCATCTTGGAGCAGCCATTTTTGTCAATTGATGGCGGACAAGATTTGGTCCGATTCCATTCAAAATTGGTGAGTGGGGGTTTTTGAGGTCGGAGATCATGATTTTTCTGTTAAAAGTAATAAATTCAAGATGGCGGCTTCCAAATAATTTGTTGTTTTTGTATAAATGACGATAACTCCGTTGTTATCAACACAAAACTATTACTGCGACATATCATCTGTAAGAGAAAAAAAAGTTATTTCTCACTAAGTTATAGTGAGCTATGACCTACATTTGAAAAACTAAAGTTGGTGCTGATATCTCAAATTCTAGAAGAGTTGATATAAATTTCATATTTTCTTCGAAATCACTTTGAAAAACTGCCATGAGAATGTGAAATTCCTATTTGAATATTTTCATAAATAAAGAAGTTTATTTTCATAAATAAAGAAGTTACGGAGGAGACATGAAAATGAACAAAATCTGTTTTTTGCGTATAAAACAAAAACGAATAGATTTTATCGAAATATTTTTTCACATTATAGTTGGCCTTGACAAACTCCACATTTGGTGTCATTTAACCGACCTCGTATCTCTCACCGTTAAAAAGATACCCATGGTGAGCATTGTAAGTGGGACACACTGTATTTTAGATATTTTTCTAACAACCTGACCATTCGTATACTTTTCTATAGAAAGTCTAAAGGAGAATAAAGATATTTATTTCTTTATATAATTATCTTTGTCCTGCTGAAATCTATCACGGCGCTCTAAATACACAAAAATCTATTAAAAAACATACAGTAAGTCAATAGAGAGGTGTGAATTCACGTTCATCCGTATTATAAAAAGAAAATAGTACTTCATTTATTCATAAATGTTCACAGATACGATACTTCATTATCTTAATAATTTTTATATTTCAGCTAATGGTAAAGATATGAGGAACATTTATGACAGCATAGTTGGTTTCATTTCAAATCCAGATTGGAAAATTAAAATGGATGACGAGGACATTTTAGGAATAGAACATGCTGGCTTACATATGCTACTGAAGAAACTTGCTAAACAAGAAAATAATAATTCAGAGAGTGGACATGCAAGTTTCAATGCTAGTTTAGCGAGAAATTTGAATGATGAAATGGTAAGTATGCACTATTTCTATTTATGATGAGTTCAGCAGATAAACACTTGGAATTCTGGTTTCCAAGTAGATGATTTCATGTTAAATGTATCGATCAGTATGAATTCAGATATGATTAATCTGAAATTTGACAAGAAAATGAAGGTACTGCAGATTCCTTTACTAAAACTACACTGATAAGGAACAAAACACCTATGTAACGAAGTTGATTTGTTTCATCCTTAAGCAGGGCTTGGCGAAACCTCTGAAAGAATATTTTATTTCATTGAGTATTAAATATATACTGAAATTAAATACCAAATATGAAAGTTTTTGAATGGTTCACAGTAAGTATTTGAATTCAAAGACTTTCAGAGGTATTGAAAAGGAATATTCTCAGATATATTTAGGAACATGAAAAAATGGATATATAAATAAAGAAATATATTGAGAATTTGCATTCTCTATGTGATGAAAATATTAATTCTTTCTCGGTTTATTCAACAGAAAACAACTACTTTCCTGGCTATATGCCACGACGAATATTGAATTACATCTATTGAACACACATGATAAGAATTTGAAAACAACATTTTCTGAAGTAGAGAATTTGCATTCTCCGTCATATCCTGGCTATTTGCCACGTCGAACATCGAATTATATCTGTTGAATATCCAAAAAGAGCATGAAAAATCAAAATCCTCTGAAATTGAGAATTGTCATTATCTCTCAAATCCAATAGAATAATATGATGTTTTATGATATAAAAATATAACTTACCAATATGTTCAGTATTGAAATGAAAATTGAAATGTATAGGATAAGTACACTTTTATGAACTCTGATCTTGATGAGCTTGGAACTTCCAGAAAAAATCATTCATATCAGTAATATGGGAATGATATCTCTCACAAACAGGTTATATGACTCAACTCCAGTAAAACTCATTTCGGATTTCATATCCTCATCAGTATCCTGAAGTCCAGTTATTCTTCCAGCCATTCTTCATGATATACACAATTTTCATCTCCCTATAATAAAACTAAAACTATAACAAACTGACATCTGAGAATTATTATGATTTGTTGACATATTATTCTATTTAATTTGAGAGATAATGACAATTCTCAATTTCAGAGCATTTTGATTTTTCATGCTCTCTTTTTGGATATTCAACAGATATAATTCAATGTTCGATGTGGCAAATAGCCAGGAATGTAGTTGTTTTCTGTTGAATATTCAGAATGATATTATATCATATATGACGGAGAATGCAAATTCTCTACTTCAGAAGATTTTGTTTTCAAATTCTTATAGTGTGTATTCGTCGTGGCATATAGCCAGGAAAGTAGTTGTTTTCTGTTGAATAAACCGAGAACAACCGCCGATAATGTGAATTCTCAATGTATTTCTTTATTTATATATCCATTTTTCCATGTTCATAAATATATCTGAGAATATTCCTTTTCAATACTTTCATCCAATCAAGGGGTTCAAACTTGAACGATGGAAACTTGTTATTTTTATAGACCTCAATCGCAGTTCAGAATTTCTTTCCACGTCCTGTATGATGAATGTCAATTTATCATACATCCAAAACTTTCAGAGGATTCAAATATTTCCAAAATATTTAAAAAATCTCGAAGTACAATTCACTTTCAATATCATATCAACACATCAAAAGTAAAATACACTCAGTTCCAAAAAAAGTGACGCACTTGATATTTCTAAAAAAAAATAGTAGGCCGATTTTTTTTATTTGTTGGTAGGTAATGCATTTGTCTTTAAAAGAAGAAAAATGGGTGAAAATTTTTTCAAAGCCTCCTTGATGGTGGTGGAATAACTCGAACCATGATTTATTCTTAATTTTTTACTCACCCTGTGTGTTAATTGAGTAATGGTATACAAAGTGCTTACACCCTATCCCTATATGAAAGAGGCTTCTTTTGCGAGCATTTTGTTTTTTATTCATTGATTTATCTCTAAAATTTTCCGAATTACAGCTTTTTTGCTGATACCTTACGCTTATCCCACAAATTGAATAATTTATTGAAGGATCAGAGTACTCAAAATTGATTGGGTTGTCATAGCAACTAATTTGTTGTATGCCTCCAGATTTGACCATTTGTCGTTGTGTCATTAATTAAGTGTCTTGTTTTATTGACTAAAATTACATAAAATGCCTCAAATAAATCCTGAACAAGTAGCAAGATTAGTTGCGTTAGTAAACGATGGGCGTAGTAAACGTTACGCCGCTCGTGCAGTGGGAGTTCATGAAGCAACTGCTCGTAGAGCAATCCGCAAGTAGGAACAAACAGGAAGCACCGCTCGGAGGGTCGGTTCTGGTCGCCCCCGAAGAACTTCTCCAAGAGATGATCGCTTCTTGAGATTGCGGATTTTACGGAATCGATCAAATACTGCGGCAAATGTTCAGCAAGATCTTCGCCAAATTCGTGATGTTGCAGTAAGTAAGCAGACGGTATGTAGACGTCAAAAAGAAGTTTATTTAAAAGCTGGGAGACCTGCAAAAGGTCCCAAATTATTGCCCGAACATCGTGTTACTAGAAGAAATTTTGTTGAAAATTATGGACAGTGGAATATTCCTGAATGGTCGAATTTCTTGTTTACGGATGAGTCAAGGTTTTGCCTTAACATGGTGGATGGAAGAAAAAGAGTGTGGGGAAGAACTGGTGAACGGTTTAATCAAAATTCAATAACAGAATGCGAAAGTTTTAATGGTGGGTCCGTTATGGTGTGGGGAGGGATTTCAATGGATGGAAATACACCCCTTCATGTTTTCCGGTGAGGCAGTCGATGACTGCCAAAATTTACATTGACACTTTAGAGCAGTATGTCTTACCTCATGCAGCGTTAGTGGCCAATAATTTTATATTGATACAGGATAATGCCCGACCACACACCGCAGCAATAGTGCGAAACTTCTTAGAAGCTACTGGTATTACCACATTACAATGGCCTGCGAGAAGCCCCGATATGAATCCTATAGAACATTTGTGGGATGAATTAGGGAGAAGGGTACGTTCTCGCGAGAGGTATCCAGAAAGTCTCGCAGAAATGGCAGATGCATTAGTGGAAGAATGGGATCGTATACCAATGGAAACGATAAGCAACTTAATTTCCAGTATGCCTCGTAGATTAGAAGTCCATAGCGTTGCTAGAGGAGGCAATACACGGTATTAAAAAAAAAGCTGTAATTCGGAACATTTTAGATATAAATCAATGAATAAAAGAACAAAATGCTCGCAAAAGAAGCCTCTTTCGTCTAGGGTGTTAGCACTTTCTATGCCATTACTCAATTAACACACAGGGTGAGTCAAAAATTAAGAATAAATCATGGTTCGAGTTATTCCACCACCATCAAGGAGGCTTTGAGAAAATTTTCACCTCTTTATTTTTTTTTTAAGACAAATGCATTACCTACCAACAAATAAATAAAAATCGGCCTACTATTTTTTTTAAATAGGTCAAATATCAAGTGCATCACTTTTTTTGGAACTGAGTGTAGTACTTTCAATATATGGTTGAATTGAATAAGTGATAAGTGTTTCAAGTATTTTGGAAATGCATTCCAAAATCACCAAAATAGCATGAGCTGATTTCGAGAAATCTAAAAATTTATATTTATTGGCGTACTCTGCCATCTAGCGGCACTCTGATGGATAATTGAATGGAGGGGTGTGAAATATATTTTCATTTCAGTTGGAGCTTTGGTTGAAACACAACAGAAGTTGTTTCATACTAATAACAGCTTATGAAAATTCATCTGAAGCTACACAAGACATATTGAAAAATAAATTGAGGAAACATCAGAATTTGTTGAAGAAGCAGGATACTCCTGGCTCTAAAATCATATTGAAGAAAATTTTATGATTGTTTTAATTATATGATTGAGGTGTAAAATGAAATAAATATTTTATACAATGCGATGAAACGTTCATTTTTATTCCTATACAGTGTCTTAACCGCCTTAATCAGTCTTCTTATCCAAATAAATCATTTTTTTATGCACAATTATATCTTATAGTTATTATGTAGGTAGGATTCTGAAGTTTGCAGAAGCGAAAGAGCTTCAGAAGATATACTCAATGACCGAATGGGATTATTATTAGAGAAAATATGTCGAAAATATCTCCGGAATAGGAACATCAAATTCACTAACCATACAAATTGTTTTCGAATAATTTTCAGTTCTAAAACATTCCCGTTTGTCAACTTCTCATGGAAGCACCCCTGTGTTGAAGTTTACAGAAGTATATTCTGTTAACTTTGGCTGTATGTTCCGGTATTATTGAGGTCTAAAGTAGGATCCTGAAATAATCAGGAGCAAAAATTACAACCATACACTCAATGACCTGATCAGCTCTAATGATACAGTGCTATTGTTAAGCACCTATCTACTGAATAAATTAATTTTTAGCCAAACTATCAGTTTCTGGAAGATCTCCTGAAACAGGTCGATTTTCAATCTCAATTTGACACACAAGGAAAATTAAATGTATACAGTGATCTCCATTTGAGTAATGATATACGTGACAACTTTTTTACCGATGTGTTATATATTTTTGAATTCAGCTTTTAATGGATATTCCAAAAATTGGATAATATATGTTCCATTATGAAAAAATTATCGCGGACGTCATTACTCAAGGGTGGATCACCCATTATATTTGATTTTTGTATGTAAAAACTTCACAAATGACAAGCTTTCCACTACTGAAACGGACGTCCCTTTTCGTGGGAACCAGAGAACATAAAAAAAAAGTCTCGTCAAAATGAACTATTTTTTTTCTTATGAATTGTTTATCGAAAAATAATTTGTTTCAGATACAGATATGGTTGAAATTTCCCAAAACATGGTTGGTTTTCGTCATAAGTTATCTGAAACTGCAGTTATTTTTATCAAACTGCTCAATCAGCATAGCCAAATTTGATTTCTATAATTTTTGTCACTGTCTGCTGGCAAATTGAGTTAATTAAATCGAACGTTCGTTTATAAAATTGGAAGTTCGCTGTCACATTTTTAGCTATTCATTGTCCCACGTCAAAAAAGAAACCGGGTACCAAATAACTTATTTTTTGCAATAGTTATTTTGAAAAAGCGAACAAAAGAATTGAATTTCAACACCCTGTATCTCCGAAACGAAGCAATTTTATCTATTTTACTTGATTCTTTGGGATTTTCTCTCCTCGTTTCTATAAAATAAAAATATTCGTATTATTTCAATATATTTGTAGTGGGACAAATCAGATGATTTGCCCCAAAATATCACTGCGTTTAACAAATTTTTCTATCAGGGAGTCTTAAAGAAAAATCCAGTAGCTTGTCAGTGACAATTTGTTTGAAAAAATGTTTGAAGGAGAGAAATATAGATATATTGAAAAAAAATCGAATTTTTACTCATCTTTGGAAGTTTCGGGACCGAATCTGCTCCCGTTCTCAACATATAAATGCAAAATATTTTTCTTCGAAAGTTTTGCTGCTTATTATAGGCCCTTTTCAGTGTCATACTGATGTTGGCATATGAATGAGTGATTTTAGTCTACAAATGAGTTACAGGATATATGTTTTCATTAATTATGGTGGCCAGGTAGCCGTGCGGACAGAGTGTCTATATTCTAATTCGCATTCGCTTGCCGGTCGTGGGTTCGATCCCCGTCGACTGCAGAAATTTTTCTGATGGCCCAAGAAAGTGTTTGGGATCACACGTTAAAAGGTAAGGCCCCCGTCATTCCTTGCTCGCACAAGACTTTCGAAGACTTTTGAGGGTTGCTCGTAAGGGGACAACCGAATGACGGATAGAACAAATTTTAGAACAAAAATTAATTGATCTTGAATCTACCATTTTCATGTTCAGTTTTCAGTAGTGAATACCATATTCTATCTATATCAACTGAACAGGAAGCAATGCTATTGTCTCCGTTTAGAAGAATGCAAGCGGATTCCTTGATTTTTCTTTTTTGGTTGTTATCTGCCTTTCCTATGATTTTGATATTATTTCATTCTGCCATATGTTGTCCATCTTTATCGATATATCTTTTCTTGATATTGTACTTGTGTTCTTTAGTCCTTACTGAGAGAGGTCTTTTCGTTTCACCTGTATAATACTTTCCACAAACACAAGGTATACTATAAATGCAATTTTTTGATGATTGTTTATTATATTCGGCGTTATTGATGGTTGTTTTTGTTTTGGTGTATTTTGTTTGTTTTCAATTTGGTGAATCGTTCTATCAACGAAGTTCTTTGGATACCTCTATGAGTTGAGTTGAAGAACATCTTTAATCTGATGGATTTTGTTACTGAAAATTTGTTGGTTAGATGATAATGATTTGGCTCGATCATGAAGTGATTTGATTATTCTCTCAGTAAGGACTAAAGAACACAAGTACAATATCAAGAAAAGGCATATCGATAAATCGAAGCTAACTGAACATATCCTTACTGAAGATGGACAACATATGGCAGAGTGGAATAATATCAAAATCATAGGAAAGGAAGATAACAACCAAAAATTAAAAATCAAGGAATCCGCTTGCATTCCTCTAAACGGAGACAATAGCATTGCTTCCTGTTCAGTTGATATAGATAGAACATGGTATTCACTACTGAAAACTGAACATGAAAATGGTAGATTCGAGATCAATTAATGAAAACATCCTGTAACTCATTCGTAGACTAAAATCATTAATTCATATGCCAACATCAGTATGACACTGAAAAGTGTTCAACTATAAGCAGCACAACTTTCGGAAACAAATATTTTGCAATTATATGTTGAGAACGGGAGCAGATTCGGTCCCGAAACTTCCAAAGATAAGTAAAAATTCGATATTTTGTCAATATATCTATATTTCTTTCCTTCAAACATTTTTTCAAACAAATTGTAACTGACAAGCTACTGGATTTTTCTTTTAGACTCCCTGATAGAAAAATTTGTTAAACGCAGTGACATTTTGGAGCGAATCATCTGATTTGTCCCACTACAAATATATTGAAATAATACGAATATTTTTATTTCATAGAAACGAGGAGAGAAAATCCCAAAGAATCAAGTAAAATAAATATACCACCTCCTCGATTAACCTACACACAGTATTCAATTTTATATAGACTTGTTTCTTAAAATTATCTCAAAAATACGTCACTCGAATATTTCAACGTACGTTACACCCTGTATTGTACCTCACATGCATTGTTGTTTGTAACGTAATAGTTATATTACGTAATATATGTTGAAAGAAGCATATTACGCACGTAACCGCGGAGCGACGAGTGCGTGATTGCTTTACAACATGCATTACCTACTGCCATATAGTACATCAAAAAAGTTTGGACAGTCTGAAGTATAATTCTTGACAGTTAGGTCATCCGCTGTTGACGGCGATTACGCGATCATGACTGGCGGAAAACTGTGCGAGGTGCTTACTGTGCGTAAAGAGCTACTTGCTGAGGCTGTATCTCGTGTGTTCTTGCCTACTTTCTATAGTGGCCGTAGGTAAACGAGCATTCAACACACACAAGTGATGAATGCTAAAAATCATGCATCTTACATTCTTACTTACTATCTCATATTTTAATGGAATTTTGGGGAAACTGAATACTGCTTAGTCATTAATTATATACCAACATTTATTTTCAACATAAACATTATTACATGTAAATAATACTTTTAATATATTCGAATCAACTCAAAATAATCACATTTCTCGATAACAAGATGAGAGAAAAATAAAATATTACTCTTATATATAGGGTGAACACTCCCCAGTGAAATAAAAAGCAAAACTGGCCGTTTTCTGTTCAAAATATTGCAGTTTATGGTGAATCCAACTCAACTGTATTATGAATTAACGATCAAGAAATCAAAACTAAGACGTATGAAAGTGTTCATAAACATCAAATAAATATCAAGAATTATTAACTCTGTTTTGTACTTAACATTTAATTCCTAGTTTAGTTGAGTTCATGATTTCACCATAAACAATATCCAAAAAATATAATTGGGGCACCTCGAAATTTCATTGGTTTTTGCAGTTATTTTGTCAATAATCAGTATTTATATTATTGAAACCATGAAACCTACTCTGCAACAGCTTGGAAAGTTTTATAAATGGAAAATCTTATCGCTGACCCTCTTGATTATACAGGATGTTTCGTTGCAAAACGTCAACACTAAATAGGGCCACCGAGGTGATTCTGAATATAACATATAACAGTGTGTCCCAGTTGAAACTTGTCACCCCCAAATCTCCGAAGTCGTTAAAAAAACGCTCGGACAGGTCGATTTCAATTTGGCGGGGGAAACATTTTTCTGCAATTATCATCAACTCTCGATTTTTAAATGGAGCACCCTGTATTTCATTGCATTTTTAGATTCTCCCTGAAGAGATGCTTTCATCAATATATCACACTTGGTGTCTAGCGGGAATGATTACAGATATATAGGGTGTTCCAAATCGAGATTTTTAAACTTTAGGATTTTTTGTGTCGAAACTATTCATAATCGGTCAAAACGGCTTTCATGTCCCTATCTCAACTTTATATATATAATACAGGGTGGTTCATAATTCTGAATTTTGAACTACCCTGTATTCGTCTAAATTAAATATCAGCAGATAGTGAATCAAAAGTTGAGATGGGGATGAGTTGTTCTGACCAATAATGAATTGTTTCGACACAGAAAAATCCATAAGTTAAAAAATCTCGATTTTGAACACCCTATATCTCTGTAATCATTCCCGCTAGACACCAAGTGTGGTGCATTGATGAAAGCAGCTCTTCCGGGAAAATCTAAAAATGCAATGAAATACAGGGTGCTCCATTTGAAAATCGAGAGTTGATGCCCGTTACGCTTCAAGATTTCAACTTTGGAATATGATAATTGCAAAAAATGTGCCCCCCGCCAAATTAAAATCAACCTGTCCGAGCGA